ATCACATCCGGGATCCTCGTGCAAGGGGGGGACACCGCCCCCCTGAGGATCCCGCGGTGGCGTGCGGCCGCCCAGAGCGAGGAGCACCCGGACAGTGGGCAACCGCGCCTGCGGGAGCACCCGCGTCCACCCTTTCGCTCGCGGGGGCCCGAGGGAACCACCCCACCCCACAAGGGGAGAGGGCACCACGGGACACCCCGCTCGCAGTGGAGGTCGAAACCCCACCATCCCGCACGGGTAGGGAGCAAAGCTCCTCCTGTCGGCGCCGTGCCACCGGGCAATGAAGTCGGGTTGCCATCCCCTACCGGCACAGTGGAGAACCGCTCCATACTCCGAAGAGTGAGCCCCCTTGGGGCCGGACCCAGTTGTACAGACTCCTCCTATCTAACGGAGGAGTCCGTACAGGCCGCCTTAGACCCCAGTGGATCGTTTCGGCGATCCACGGGGGAGCCCTCTCACCACGACAAGGTGGCGGCCCGCGAGGGGGATAACATGATAACCTTTTGTAAGCGTTATACAATAGATTTGTAAAGCCATTTCAAGTATAAGAAAAATATGGACCTGGAACAAACCGTACGACATATATATATATTTTTTTTATATATATTAGGTGTACAACTTTGCTTCCGCCATTTTCTTTCCGAAATTCGAGGCTTTATTGTAAAAAACTGGTTATACATTTGTTACGTCCAGACTCCACTGTTTTTTTCTTCGATTAGAATTTTCGTCATCACCATAATAAGGGTCATTAACAAGTAACACCGGTAAACCAACTGTATCTGCCATAGGAAGTTTCGATAGCTGCGAGCCGATTAACGTTCGCCCTTTTTTTAAGTCAGTAATCCACTCGAGACACAGTCGTTAAGGATTATAACCAAAACAGCGGTTGTCCTTAATAAATAATAAGTGTGGCTCTATGACTATCGAACATCCGGCAAATGGTCGATGACGAAAAATCATTTGAGACACATATCCCTTTTCACAACCGATACTCTTAATCCTAATCTTAGATTAGCCTAATACCACACACTAGACTTGCACACGGCACTACTAACTAGCGAATATAAAAGGAGGGCCTTCGCAAACAGAGGACAGTTTTTTTAAAACTACCTACCTAGGCGAACCTCTGTCGGTCCGTTAGTCAAATCAATTCAGTCAAATCAAAGTTCAATCCACCTAGTCAGTTGAAAGTTATCGTCGGTCCGCGACCAAATCGCCGCGATCAGCGTCCTTAGTCGCGAAAAAGTTTCGAGTGGAGGTCTCCAGACATCCAGCTGAGGCCACTTCTGGGTCCAAATCTGCACACGACCCCCACCGAGATCGGACCACCGGCAATCATTTCGAAGTCCGGAAGCTGCTAACCAGCAGTAAGTCACTTCTTTTAATTATTTACCTCGCGAATTTAACCAGATCACTCTCTAGCGAAATATTAACCCCTCTCAGTCTCTGCATTCTCAATTTTTGCTTCCATAATTCACCTGTCATCCTTATCCTTCCACATGCATCGATTTCTTCGATGAATTCTATATCCCTTATTTGGAAGTTCGCTTAATACGCGAGCTTCACTCTTTTTCAGCTACTGTTTCGGTCAGAAATAAATGGTTCGCTAATTTGACTAAAATTACCATCCCGACTGAAATTCAATATTTACTACAACTTGGGGGTAATTTTTCTCTACCTTCATTTAACCTGAAGAAAAACTGTTTTGAGCTCATCAAATCCATTGAAAACAATGTGAAAAGTCTAAATAACACCGGGATTTTGGATTTGAGGAATCGCGCAATTTCTATCATACAGAAAATAGCCTTTACGAAGCCTGCTAACAATTTTATTAATATCAGGTTAACTTCATTACTCAAGATGACCAGGAGTTTCATTGGGGCGAATCCGGGTATTTTATTCACGAGAGCAGACAAAGGGAATGTTACTGTAGCCATTGAACAAACTGAATACAAACAAAAAATGCTCAATATGCTTGAAGACAGCAACACGTATACAGTAATGAATAGGGATCCGACTAGGAAACTTACTGAATCAGTTAGAATGTTGTTGACGAAATGGAAAAAATGTGAATACATTGATTCAAAATTGTACAGGAAATTGTACTGCAGTGATGGGATATTGCCGAGGGTATATGGACTTCCTAAGATTCACAAGGAAGGGTGGCCCTTAAGAATAATCGTTTCTTCTATTGATAGCCCTCTATATGCACTAGCCTCATTTTTACACAATATTATTAAAGATAAAGTTCCTAAACCACACAGCCACATAGACAATAGTTTTAAATTTGTTCAAAAACTTAATGGTTTTTACTTGGGTAATGAACATTCCTTAATTTCTCTTGATGTGATATCATTGTTTACGAACATTCCATTAGATTTAGCTGTAAAAAGTGTCCTAAATAGATGGCATTTTATTGCACGAGGTTGTCACATATCAAGAGAAGAATTCACTAAAGCATTGCGGTTGGTTTTGGAGTCTACTTTTTTTAGTTTTGATAAAAAAATTTACTACCAGAAATTTGGAACACCCATGGGCTCTCCGTTGTCTCCCATCATTGCAGATCTGGTTATGGAAGATTTAGAAAATTATGCTTTGGAGAGATTTGGAACTGAGGTACCTTTTTACTTTAGATATGTAGACGATATCGTGACTGCTATTCCAAATCACTTAATTAACGAATTTTTAAAAGTTTTCAACTCCTTTCATTCAAGGTTACAGTTCACTTTGGAGGTTGGGGGTAACAGGTTGAATTTTTTAGATGTGACGATAATCAATATTAGAGGCAAATTAGAATTTAATCTTTCATAAATCATAAATTAACTTTTTCTGGAAGGTATCTTAGTTTTTTGTCTCTTCATCCTCTTTCACAAAAAAGAGGTGTTCTTATGAGCATGGTGGACAGAGCCTTTTTACTTTCTCATCCAAGGTACCATAGGGACAATTTTAATTATATTATCAGAACTTTTTTGGACAATGATTATCCTATTGATTTTATTTTTGACACGATCAATTTAAGATTAAGATCTCTTTTTAAACGTAGGACTTTAAGACAAACAGACAAACCGAAGACTGATACTTCAACCTCGTCATGGTTTACCATTCCTTTTCTACCTTGCGTTTACAAAAAATTCAAGAACATCATTAAAAATCTGGATGTTAAATTGTCGTTCTTCAGTTTAAATAAAATGGACGGTATTATAAAAGCGCAAAAGGATGTTCTTCCTCATGAATCTAGGAAGAATGTGGTTTACAAGATAAATTGCAAAGATTGCAATGCTTCTTATGTCGGACAGACTAGCCGTAAATTAAAGACGAGAATTAACGAACATAAAAATGATATTAATAGGAAGAACGGTAATATGTCAGTAATTTCTGAACACAGATTACAATTCCAACATGAATTTGATTGGTCGAATACTGAGATTTTGGATGATGAGAGATATTATGGGAAAAGGATGGTGTCTGAAATGCTTAATATCAAGATGCAAGATAATGGCTTAAATTTGAAATCAGATACTGAGTTCTTACACCATGCATATACAAGCATAATTGATAAATTTTGATTTTATGGAATGTTTGTTTCGTGTAACTATTCTCATGCGATTATATGTACTGTTTTCAATTCGAGGACTTTTAACAATATTGTTTCCGTTCTTAATATTCTCACTTAGTGTTCTTTTACACAACTTGACTTTGTTTGTGACACTGCGAACGTTATTTTCTTACGAAGAATACGAATGTTTCTAATTTATTAATAATTTAAATTATTTAATTTATAATGTTGGTGGTTATGGTGTGCAGGGGTAAGTCTTCTGATTAAACCGTTATGACGTTTTTAATGACTGTATATTAATGATTTCATTGTTGATACAGCTCGTATTTAGTTAATCAGCTAACTGACGGTTAAATGCTCTCCAGACGTGGCAATCTGAGAGACTTGCTTACTGCATCCCATGGCTTCGTTATGGCGAACTAACTAATTTATTGTTAATGGAGACTGCTGAAGATGGCTTGAAGATAGCCGAAACGTTCAGAATAGTATATCACGTATGGAATACTGATTAGAGAAATATATTTATACTTTGATTCACGCACTAAGTACTGCGTTTAAGGCTCTTAATTGCCCTTTTTAGTCGTTCTTTATTTGATTATATTTCGAGAGCCCAATTGAACCTTTGATTTTCCTCGGTCCCCTTCTCCTGCAATAGTTTATCCCGTCGCAACCCCTACTCCTCGAACTCCTTCACCTGCTATTTCGGATGCTTTAACCGAACGTATTTTTCCCGACACCCCGCCTTACACTCCCGATTCCTCCATTCAGTCAGTCCCTCCATCTCCTAGTCCCGATTCTCCCGCTGACTCATCATCAAGCGTGGAGCTCTTGTATGAACTTCTCCCTCCTCGTCCTCGTTACCATTTCCACCATGGAAATCCTCAATCACTAGCCTTCTTTTTTTTCCGATTCCAAATATCCACCGAACCCCTTCCCCCGAATACATTTACTATAAATTTCATAGATGCAGATCCTGATAGTATGCGGAATGCCATAACTGGCCAACCACCCGAAGTCCTTATCCCAGTTTACCTTCCGCACTCCCCCATCCTTTCTTAGTCCCCGTAGCCTTCTTCCTAAATTTCTTTCCCCCCTCCTCATGCGTAATTAGAGAGATAAGATGAATATTACAGTCCTAAACACACACATAACACACTCAGACACACTATCAAACTCGATGGCGGCATAAATTAACCTAAATCTAACGAGATTATCTTTAACTTTAATTTAATTACAAAATATATGTAAACCCAACAATTATATTTTAATTTAATTATAAGATTTATGCAAACTTAATAATTATGTGTACTTTGATTTACTTATAAAATTTATGATTATGTTTAAATATAATTTAATTATGAAGTTTATATAAACCCAATAATTATCACATTTTTTTGTTTTGTAATTTACTCTAGTAATAAAATGAAATTCTATTTAAAATGATTTCCTTCAGTTGATTTTTTAAAACTTTAAAGACCTCGTACTCTCGCTGTTTCCAAGGATCGCAGCCGATCCATTCCCGAGTTATAAAGATTCATTTCTTTGACTCTAAATTCGGACCGACGATCACATTGTTAATCGGAAACAGGCGTCATATCGTCCTTTCAGGACGTTGACCCATATTTCAGAACAATAAAAGGTGCATTCGACTCGCTCCATCCCTTTCACGCGGATGCATGCGAGACATAGCGTCTGCTCTAACGTCCTTCCATGCTTCTTCCTTCTTATCCTTTTCTTTCTTTAAACTTATTCATCCACATTATCGAAGCTTGGACGTAACAGACTAAGTAAATTTGGGGGCTCGTCCGGGATATTAAGTGCAACCTTTGTGGGCAGATATGAATACGAGGTCTACATCTAGCAAAGAGGAAGTTAACGATATTTATAGAACCGCTATAGAAAATCACGGCAAGCCAAAACACAATAACATAACAATCCACACATCCACTCCTGCGTCCTCTAAAACTATACATAAGCAAATTGACTTCTCGCTGGATGACTCTGAGATCGACCATGATCTATTTCAAACTTTAACTAACACACTTGTCTCCAACGCTTCCGGAGATACAATAATACATCCGGCAACAGAAATTAAAAGTACTCCTAAGACAAAAAGAGATAAAATAGTAGCTAATCCAAATCCATTCGCTACATTAAAATACGCGGTCGAAGCCGTCCCTTTCTTCGACGGTAAAAATATTCCGCTAACGTATTTTATTGAGGGATGTGAGGAAGCGAAATCCATGTTGCCTGCGGAAACCGAATCTCAATTTATTAAGATTATTAGAACGAGAATTGTGGGTGAAGCACGCCATACAATTCAAAATCAAAATTTTGACAGTGTATCCCAACTAACAAAATATTTAGAACAGGTTTATGGCCCATCCAAAAATGTTTATCAGTTGCAAGGAGAATTGGGAAACATCTATCAAAAGAACGAAGAAGATGTTGTTACTTACGCGAATCGAGTTAAAATTCTGGGGAAGCAAATATTAAAAGCACATAAAGATTTGGAAAATTTTCTTCCTAATCAAGATATTAAACCATCCTTAGAAAAAGATATGTGTAAATGCTTCATTAGAGGGCTAACACCGGAAATCGAACAGAGAATAGCAAGAAATTTAAATATCCACGAAACCGTAGCTGATGCTTTAAGAATTGAGAGAGAACTACACTCAATGACAGATTTACGACAGGGGCACAGTAATATAGCAAGTAAAAAACCAGATACTAATAAATTACACGATACGTGTCAAATTTGCTATAAGGAGGGGCACTCGGCTTCTAATTGCAGAAAAATAACTAGTTTAGGAACTGAAATTTTAATATGTCAAATTTGCAAAAAACGCGGGCATGGCGCAGATAAGTGTCGGCTTCGCGACCCTCGAGTTCAACGACCTGTCAATGTAATACAAGGAAATAATATTATTTGTCAACTTTGTTTTAAATCTGGTCATAATGCTAAATTTTGTAAAACAAATAGCAATATTAATAACAATATTCAGAATAAGTCCTCTATAATTTGTCAATGGTGCGACAAGTCAGGCCATTCGGCCAATAATTGTTGGAAAAAGCAAAATGAACAAAATAATTCAGAAAATAAGACCAAAATTGTTTGTCAAATTTGCAATAATTTTGGACATATCGCCAAAGATTGTCGATCTAAGATGAAACAAGATGCAACATCTTCGGGTTCACTATTCTGTCGCTATTGTAAAGAACAAGGGCACCTCCTTGACGACTGTGAACTACGTATCGCAATTAACAATAGAAGACGAGTAAATAATCAGGGAAACTCCGACGGCCCCTCGAAGTCGGGTGTACAACAAAGGTCTGCACGAATCTCACACCCGCCACCGCCACAAAAAACCCAGTAGGTAAAAATGAGGCAGAAGTGCAACCGGTAACGCTAAACCTCGATAAACATAGTCGCGTACCTACCATACAGGTAAAGCTTTGTAAATTCACTCCATATATAACTTTTATGCTAAATACCGGTTCTAGGCCAAACATAATTAAAGAAAAATTTATATCATATGACAATACCACTGTCAACCATAATAACATATTAAAATTAAATGGGATAAATGAATATCCTGTTTATACTCTTGGTGAGATCACTTTACCGATTTTCGAAAATAGAGTAACTTTTCATATAGTATCAAACGATTTTCCCATTACACAATCAGGCATATTGGGCAATGATTTTTTCAAACAAACTTCCTCAAAAATAGATTACGCGAAGGGACATCTAGATATATCAGGAATTACTATACAGTTCTTTTCCCCAGAAACCATTACAGCATCTCCGCGAACAGAATCTTTGTTCTACGTGAGGATAAAAAATCCTAAGATAAAAATAGGGTATTATATCCCAAAAATAAAGGTAGCCCATGGAATTTATCTGGGCGACACCAAAGTAGAAAATGTCGCTGGAAAAGCGTTCCTAGCACATTAGACGAGGAAGTTGAAGTGCAAGTACCAACTTTGCGCCTTAAATCTCTAAATGAACTATTCGACAATGATAGCTCAAGCATTGAAATGCAAAATGCTCAAAAGGAAATTGCAAATATGCAAATTTGTCTTACCCATCCAAAAAATATACAAAATTACGAAGACGTTAGTAACGACGATAACAACGACGGAATTTCGGATAAAGACGAAGTCTATCTATGACAGAAGGAAAGAGATACAGAAAAATAAAAGGAAAAAATGAAGTATTTGAGGAAAATAATGAGAATAAATTAACGAGAGGAATCAAGTAAAGATTCTATTCTAAAAATTTGTCGGGAGGAGGATTTCCACATCCCCTCCGAGATCTTAGAATCCAAAATCCTTGGAGAGGGAAATTACCAAACCTCTCATGAAAATTTTAATAATTCTAAAATCCTTGGAGGGGGAAGTTACCAAACCCCTCTTAAAAATCCAAATAATCCTAGAATTCTAGAGGAAAGTTTCCGTACCTCCCTAGTAAATTCTACTCCTGTCGGTTGCAAGAAAGGAAGTAACCAAACCTTACTATGCAATGCGACTCAATTTAATGAAAAGAGTCAAAAGAAAAAAGCTCCACTCTCGAAATTAAATCACCAAGGATTGGAATATCCGCAAAAAAAAATGATATTCATAAAAATAATTCCTCTCACGTTACTATTGATGAACTTATAAAAAGAACGCAATCATATATTCGATATCTGAATGTTCGTAATTCCAAAGTAAACAAACCATCTTCTAAAATCCTAGCGTCTATACAAAAACAATCTCAAGAAATAATAGAAAAATTTATGCGTAAACGTAAGTCAAAACGAAAGGAGAAAACAAAAGAAGAATTATCAAATGATACCAAGCGCGAATGTTTCGCATTATCGGAAAAGCCTAACAAAAATAGGCTAACAAAAATCGTAGAATTGTTACGCCTAGAACATCTAAATACACAAGAAAAGGGAAACATAATAAATCTTATATCTAACAGCCAAAACAGATTTCACATTCCAGGAGAAAAACTAACAGCAA